GGAGTCTGTGACACCCAGAGCATGAATTAATGAAGGTCTTCTGTAAACACAGAACTTTAATGTGTTTAAAATTTCTAGCAGTTCCAAAGACATAAGGCAAATTCAGCTAAAGGGAAAGTATGTGCCTCTTTCCTTCAGTTTTAATTCTCAATTTTGAACATGGGGGAAACAAATGGTTAAAAAATACACTGAAATTATTCAACCAATCACTGTGATTTCTAGAGAAAACTAACCTCTTCCTTAGGAGCACTCAGGTTTTCAACTGAATTAGTGACTTTTACATTTCTTTCTTCTGTTAAAAAACAGAACAAAACAAAAGGCCATGCTGATTGGTAATATATACTCTTTTCTATCCAGCAATAGAGATATCCTCAACTAGCTAGAAGAATATTCATTGATTAAGAAGGTGATCCAGAGACTTCTCTGCATTGTTCTCAAGTATGAGTTGGAATGATCAAGTGTTCAGAATATGCACCCATAGAGTGAGTGTACAAGGTCTACTGCTATAGGCTGATCCACACTGAAGTCAGGCGTGTAAGGTGTGGCACTAATGGTTGTTCTCACATCAAATCATGTGAATAAGAAGATTTAACCAGACCCAGAATCTGTCTTACTTGATGTAGTCAAAAGTATTACTGTTTCCTGATAGAATTCTGATTGAAGAAGAGCCAAATATTTCCAAAATATTAAATTATTAAATTTGTTATCAATCACAGTTATTATCTGGCTTCTGGGTCTTAATTTCACCACTTTACAGAACAGGGAGTTGAGTTAGCTGGACTGTGAGTGAGAGTTGGTTTGTGAGCACTATCTGGGTCCATTCTGACTAAAACACCACGGGTAAATATATACCCCTCATTGGGTATGTCTACATTTACATTGAAGACTTTAGAAGAAGAATAAAAGCGTGAGATGTTAAATATGGAAGGTAAGTAATTGATAGCATATGAGACAAATAGAATTTAAAGTAAAAACATCTTGAAACAAGATACAGGTGAAACAATGCTTTCATTTAGAAAGCCATCTTAAAGAAGTGTCCAAACACCCTACAGGAGCTTTGATGATGCATTCTCTCATGACAAGCACACAGCATTTTGTACTATTGTATGGAGCTAACTTGCAAGTAACCAGTACTATACACCATGCTGTGTACATCAAGTCAACTGTCATAGGCAATCACCATTCAAATTCAATGTGTCCCACAGATCTCTGTGTCTCAAGATCATTGGTTGCCACCCCTTAGATTGAATCCAAGTCACAAGAAGAACTCATTTGCAAAATATAAATGTTATCACCCTCTCTTCCATCTGCTGCTACATTTGCATCTACAGCAAAATGGAGCCTTGTAGCTCGTGAAGTACATTACTGCCATTCCTTTTACAGTTAGCCACACAAACACCGCACGCGATCGCATATTCTTTTGCTTTGATTTTCCTTTCTTCTTTCATTCCATGAAATTGATTTTGGTAGGTTTTTTGACAAGAAATATATATATACACCAGACACATGTTATCCTAAGAATAGAAACACATGGAAGTCAAATACCAGAAGCAAATAACGGGAAGGTGAATTGTAGCTATCTTTGGAAGCGCTGTTTTCCTAATGTCTTATAACATTTTCCACATTCCCTTAAAGGGAAGATGGCCCAGTATGACAGTTGCAAAGGTGAACATTATTAAAATGTAAAGAAACAAGAGTAAAGCAGGATTTGAACAACAGTGCATTTAAATGCATATGAAAATCAATGCACACCTTGCATACCGTTAGTGAATAAATCCTTCTGGAAATTGTGTGGCTTCCTAATCATATCCGTCCTGGTCTTACATAAGCACAGAATGCCTGAGGGCTTATTTTCCTTGTTCTGCACAATGACCTCATTTTATCAAAGAGTTCTAAGGATCTTTAACTGACTTCAATCTCGGTGACAGAAAGCATCACCGGCGTAAAGGGAAGCAGCATCGAGTGCTAACGAGGAACAAAATAAACATATCCATTCTGTTTTTCCACGGCTCATATTTTTAAATCATTTCTGGTTTCTGAAAAACACACATGTTATCCAAACTTGTCTTGCTAGGTCATGCCTTCCCATATAAGAACCTGAGGGCTGGGCTATTTTTAAAAATTGATAAGTGGTCAGAGTCCTTCTTACACATTCTGAGCCTAATCCCACCAAATTTCCTAGATGAAATTTCTCCCTTCTTCCTTTGGGGTTATCTGCCTGAAATGATGATGTGTCTGAATGTGGATTCATCTGGAATTTGAATGGTTTCCTCACACTGCAGGCTTGCTGGGAGCTTGTTAAGGTAGCTAGAGTGTGTCATGGACTGTTTCATTAATCTTCACTACAGCTGGAAGAGATGATGATAATCGTACCAACTTTAAAGATAAGAAAATTAGGCTCAGAAGCAGGCTCTGGGTCACAAGCTTGGGAAGGCCAGCTTAGTCCTCTCTCATTTGTCAAGTAGCTACAGTGTATTAAACATTGTTCTAAAATATAGACTGCAGCCCTTGTCCCTAGGGTGTCCAGGCTTCCAAAGCATACTTATTATAAAATATTAGGTTACAATTATCTGAAATTCAGGCATTACTGAGCATACTGTCTTCTGTTGTCTTTATTCTGGACACCACACAACATTGCCCACCAGGGTGACTCAGGAACTGGTCCATTGGAAAGCAATGCTCGAGAGACAAGCAGAGTTGCTTAGATGAAAATGACCAAGGATGGTTTTCCATTGAGAACCATCCCTAATTGCTACTGCAGCCAGAGCAGGCACAGAAGCTTGTCACAATCTGTGGTTTACTCTGTGTTTTCTTACATCCCTTAAGAGAAGCTGATATCTTGACCAAATGCCAAATTTTCTAGTCCTCCAGTGATGATGGAGACTCTTGAGTCAAGCTAATAGAAAGCCTTTTAAAACAGTTTGAAAGATAACTTAGGTATAGAAGATCAACATAGTTTGGGCCGTATTTGTACCTGCCTTTGAGGAAAGGGCCTCTTCTGCTTGGGTCACAGTTGAAGGCAAGCCTTGAGATATATAGCATGTTACCTTTTCATGTTTGTTACAGATGTAACTATCTGGAATTAAACCGAGGTTATTGTAAATCTGTTTTCCTAAAATTTTCTCAGACATATATAAAGGAACAAATCAAATCTTAGTGTTAAGCTTGTCACCTAGTCTGATATCTTTGGGTTTCTACAAGGAGGAAGGAACTGTGCTACATTTCAGGGTACCAAACAAACAAAAAAGGCTTGTCACATCTGTTACCTAGGAAAAGGGTGACACTTGTAAAGGAATAATGCATTACCCTTAACAGTGCAGTAATAACAGTAGACCCTTGAATACTAATTGAACGATGAAACATAGGCAATGTTGGGATTCAAACCCAGTAAAGGATATTGGGTCAGGACCTTCTCTAAGAGAAAGATATACCCAAGAAGAAAATTATGCGTGGGCTGACTGAGGAGTAGCCAGTATTCTGGAAAAATTCAAACCTAATCCCAGAGGCAAGAGAATACACTTAATAGCTATGAGAAGCTTAAATAATTCCATAGACCTAGAGCATGTGGGAAATTATGAGAGGCATGAGACATCAAGCAGATGCTGGCAGTCAAACCAGACACTCAGCTGGTATCCAATGCTGCTCCCAAGAGCAGCCATTATATAAAAAGAGGTTTCAAACAGAAAAGAAAAATCTAGACATCAGGAGGCCAACCTAAAACCCTTGCAATGTACAGCCCACACTGTCAGTTAAAGAGTGGGCTGACAGTATCAGAAATTCCCTTGTCCTATCTATGAAAGAGCTTGAGGAAAAAGGCACCAGGAATCTGTCTGGCTCACACCCACACTCTCCTCACAACCATCCAAAGTGCCAGTGCCACCTACCCAGCACTGTGACCGCAGGCCACCTTCTATCCGTATACTGACAGTTTCAGTTGTATATCCTACTACCTAACCATTGGAACATACATTCGGGCTGCTCAGAACCTACAGGTGAGCTGTGGTGTAAAGTCCATGACCCTTCATGTCCTCCCCAAATGCTCTGAAATAGGATCTGAAAGAAGTTTTTAGGAGACATACTATGTTTAACCAAAAGATCAAGTACACAAGTTAAATTCAGCTTCACTTGGGTCTATGTGGGAATTTTACAAACTCTCGATCTACAAAATAGGTGTCTTACAAAGAATTTGATATGACAGAGAAATGCACAACCAGTTGTTCTAGATACCTTCTTCTGGTTCCAGAAGAATTTATATTTACATATGACACATTTCTGAATGTAGAAATTGCACACATTTTCAGAGTAGATATCAGTGAGCATGAGGGAGACAGCTCTAAATGTGTATGTTGGGCTCCTGGATTCAGATGTACACAGATGCTGACTCCACACACAGGAATCGGCTTTGTCTCTCCGTGGGGTGAGAGGAGTCATGACAATCTTTCCCTTGATTTCTCAGCTTTCTGGCAATGGGCAATTCAATGTCACCAAAACGGCAATGGAGGGTGTCCAAGAAGCTCATGGAGGCCTATGAGCTCTCGAACTTTATGGACAAACATGCAGATAAGTCAACAACATGTTTCACTGGATCAAACTGCCTGGGTTTGGAAATGGGGCCCATCTCCCACAGGGTCTATGGCTCTGGACAAGTTTATTTACTCCCTGTCTCACTTTTCTCATGTCTAAAGTAACTTTATCTCCTTTAAAGTAAGACCAGAACCCTGCTAGAAATCCCCTCTGAAATGATGGGCTGACCTATTTCGTGAATTCAGATCTAAGGAGTTGCTGCAGCTTGGGGGAGCGGGTGTTGACCCAGGCTTGCAGTGAGGAGCACATCTGCTCCCTCTCTGAGGATAGACCACATGACATGTGTATAGCACGACATTCTTAGATGAAATTACACTATTCAGTACACATTGACTTCAGCCAAGAAACCCAGGTGTCGCGCATAGATGTACAGTGAAATCAGAAAATGCCTGTAGAGGAAAAACAGCATCTCTCACCTTGCTCCTACGACAAGTTCTTTCTGTCCTGGGTCAAATGTTAACCTCGAGAAATCGACAGCATTCTCGGCTCTGAATTCCCGTAACCAGGGGCCAATTTCTATATATGAAAAAAACAAAAAGGAACAAATAAAAAAAGGGTAAAACCAACAAAACAACAAAACAAAAGGAAAAGGATGATCTGCCACCAGGATGACAGGACAGAGAGGGCAGGTCAGGAAGCAGGCAGAGTGATGGGGACTGGGAGGTCCCTTGGTGTCATCATTAGGGGCCCCTGGAGGTCTTTGTCAGGATATCACATATTTCATACATGAACCTGAAAAACACAAAGGGCAGCCACCCAATAAAGAGCACTGCAGACTGCAAGGCTTGTTTGTGATTTACAAGCCAGATGTGTAGTTTCCATTGGCTACAGATGAGCATTCACGGGACCCATCAAAGGAATATAGAATGGGAACAACCATTTCTTGTGAGACCCCAGGGCTGAGGCTTACGTACTCACTAACCCCACTGGACATAGAACTCTTCTTCCTTGGCAAACAACCATATAATCAGATGCTCGTTTTCTTTGATTTAGTGTTTGAGTAATATCATACTGACTAAATGGGCATATGCCAACTGTCAAACCAATACTGTTATTGGCTGAAAGAAAGGCAATAACACATTTCAACAGACACTGAAGATAAAAACAGATCTACTATGGAAAACTTTTCACAAAACTCATGAAGCAGGGGTGGCCTTGTGAGTGGATAGTAAAATATCTTCATTATCAGTTACTAGGAAATTCACATTGATTGAAAGCTATTTTGGTCCAAGCTTATAGAAATCTTGTTTTTGAAAATTTAATATAAATGGTAACCCAGATTCTTTTTGGTATTTTACACACATTTTTTTCCATGTTTACCACAAATTGATTAAAAACAACTATTCATTTATAACTATGTAAATACAAGATTGCAATGCTATAAAATTTTATTAGTAAATGATCTTTCTAAGAACTTATAATGCAGTTAGGGCAATAGTGTTAATACCTCTATAAGTATAAATATAGTTTATAAGTGTTTATAGGGCTGTAGGAATTTTACAGCTACAGAGAGGAGAGGCTAGAAGGCCCAATAGAAACAGTCATCCAGAACCATAGGGCAGAGGCAAGAATTATCTAGAATCATAGTGCAGATGTCCTAGAAGAGCAGGAGGCAAGGGAGAAATATGGAGACCACAGTATTCCTCTGTCTTGATCTCATGTAATGACGCTTTCTCCATTAGAGAGACCACACTTTGTATAAAAGATTTTCTTGTTTTAATGACTTTATGCTTATTTTATATGCATTAGTATTTTGCTTGCATGCATGTCTGGATGAAGATGTTGCGTGGCCTGGAACTGGAGTTAAAGACAGTTGTGAGCTTCTTTGTGGGTGCTGGGAATTGAAGCCAGCTCCTCTGAAAGAGCAGCCAATGCTCTTAACAGCTGAGCCATTTCTCCAGCCCATCATCTAACCATGCTTATTCTAAAATGAAGACCATGTTTTCCCTCTTGTACTACCTCATCTAGCCACTCTTATTCTAACATGGAGGCCATGGTTTCTAGATAGATAGATAGATAGATAGATAGATAGATAGATAGATAGATCATATAACCATTCTTACTCGCATAGTACTTCCAGGTGATGGGAAATGAAAACCAAGGTTCTGGTGTCTACAACATAGAAATGGTGTCTTTTATTGGGTACCCATTGAGTAAGGTCTGAATTTAAAGTCTAAGGATGAGTGAGTCCACTCAAGAGTCAGTGAATCAAAGAGGAAGAATGACGAGAAAAGAAATTAGCAACAGCTTAAGAAACCCTGGACTGGAAATCAAAGGCATACTTACACATAAACTATAGAGAAATTCATATTCAGTCTGAACTTTATAACAGATGTAACAAGAGAACTCTTCCGAATTTTCAAGTGAGCACTTAACTTACTGAAACAAAGATTCTAAAAATAGGCATGGGACACTGACAGAGAGGGTGCTGTGGAAAGTATAGTGAATGAAAATAAGAGTATTAGATAGTAAAACACTAAATACCATAGACTTTAGGTCCAGGAATGGAAAGAGGCATTTCTATCCAAGAGGTGTGTGAGGGTCTCATTAGTCAGACTGGCTGTTGGAGTGATACCAAGGTAGAAAAATTAAAGAATATTTTCAAGTTAAACCAAAAAGTCAGTGTTCAGGGGGCATGACTGGATTTACTGAAAGATCATAGATCAGCAAGCACGAGAAAGTCTCCCACTAAAGCTGACAGGTAGAAGGTGGACTGCAGAGACATTTTCATAATCACTCAGAGCAGAAGAGCTGACATGACATGTAAGTTCAAAAGCATCAGCATTCAGATAGAAACCCACGAAGAGCCCTAGTACAGTCTTGCAGGCTGGAGGGAGTATATCTCACTTCATTCACCATAACTTCCAGGCTCCAGAGCTGAGGACTTGGGTCCTCTTCCAAAAACAAACAAACAAACAAACAAACAAACAGCAAAGTGAAGGCTGGCCTTGCTGCTGCTGCTGCTGCTGCTGCTGCTGCTGGTGGTGATATACAATATAAGTAAGAGGAAGAAAACTTACTACAAGTATCATAAAACAATCAGCTAGCTTGTTTGCCATGCATCCACCAATCAGGAGTGGAACAACGTCTAATAGGAGTGAGATGAAGAGAATCACTTCAGGTTGAGCTGCTACTCTGAGGAACAATAAAGAGGACAAGGAAAACAGTGGTACTTCTGAAAACACCCTGTAGACAGATCAAGAAGCTGAGTAAAGAAAGGAAAACAAGTTAACAGTGTAGCGATCAATGTTGTTTTATTTCATTAATTGAAATTAAAATGTACTCCCCTTGCCCCCCCCCAAAGAACAGTGTCCTTTCTGGGTGACAGTCAAATCAAATTGTACAAATCAAATTGTAAATTTCTTCATTTTAATTGTCCATTGAATTCCTCATCCATGTTAGTCTACCCCAACTTTGTACACCACATACCTTTATTTCTTAACTGAATCTCTCAAGGTCCTTGTGAGAATTGCTACACAAACCACCCTCTCCAATTAAGCCCCTGCATGCACAAACCACAGGCTTGCAGTATTCCCTGCAGGCCAGAGTCACAAGGCACTATCCTCTCCTGAAGACCAGGGATCTGACTTCCCCTCAATCTCATCTCTTTAAATCTCTTTATTCCTTTACTAAGTCAGTTCTTTTCCCTTTAATGTCTCTAGTTTAACTAAGTTACTTCCCTCCAACATATACAACTCTATCTAGTGTTCCTAATTTAAGCATTACTTTAGAGCTTATTTGCTTGTGCTAATTTGCTATTAACAGCACATAAACTAATTGGATAATGATCTCCAACATATGGCATGCTTGAGAAGCAACAAGATTAGGTTTATGTGCATTAAGACAAAATGCACGAGGATAATATAATGCAAACATTTCACCAGTTATTCCATACAAAAAAGTAAAGTTTCCCAACTCAGTTTGAAGTTGTAATTATCAAGATAAGCTATGTAGTAAGACTGAATCAATAGCATTCTAAGATAGGAATCTCAGAGATCAACCAAAAAAACACCTTAAATTATGTTGAAGAAATAAATGTATATGGTGTCATCATATCAGAAACATGTGTGTACATATATAGAAACATACACATATACATGTACACAAAAATACATATGTATACATTCATGCACAAATATACACATTTCCATACACACGCATGCATTTGCTCATATGAGACAGAGGGAATTAGGCTTACCTAATAAATATGAGAATGACCCAGCAATTCTAGCATCATAAAATATACAATTTACTTTCATGGTAACAGATGTCAACAATAGTAATTAGTCAGTATCAAGACTGACTTCCAAAAGTCATAAAATGAACAGAAACAGAGTAGCTAGGCCAGTTCAAGTTGATGTGGGTCAAGAGAGAAGTCTCCAGAGCCTGGACAGTGGGCACAAAATGAGTTTTGCAGTTGGTCAAGAGAGACAAAGAAGAAAGTAGACAGAGAGACAGCACTCCTTCCTTCTCTGATGCAGCTGGAAGATTCGTATGATGGAAGGGAACTTGAGCAAAATGGCTTATGAGGCCACCGCAGGAAGGGAACTGACACAAAGCTGATAAATTCAAATTGAATACCCCATGGGTCATTTATGACACTTGGGGAACACTCTGGAAAACCTAATCATAGCACAAACATATTACTGACACATGTCCTCTAATGACTGTCTACCACAAAGTCAGGCATGTTAATTTGTGCATTCGTATGGCAACATAAGCTCATGGGTGATATTTTGTCAATATTTTATCAAAAGTGTACCATTTCTGCTTTTAAAAGAAATGTTGCTTGCACTTTCAAGAAAACTATTTTTAATCAACATGAGTGAGGGTTAATGAATTTGGTCAAAAGTAATTGGGGGCTTTCAAGTGTGTGCTGGATATACATCTGCAAGTCAGTGCCCCTTCATCATACAGGAGGGAATAAAATAGAAAAACCGTTATCTCAAACAAGCAAAAAACTTTCTAGGTAATGATGCCATAAGCTGAGAAACTTTTGCAATCTGAAAATATGGTCCACAAAGGGGATCCTGGTGTGAGGAGCAGCTCTTGATCCAAACCTGGCAGTGAATCCAGGCTGAGTAGGCGACAGCATGCAGCACGACTCTAACCAGCCCAATGTGGCTTGAATTGTCAAAATGGATGAGGATGAATAAGAACTGCCATGTGCCAGCTCTAATATCCTCCCTCATTCTTTCACTCTTCAGTCTATCCTGGGGACAGAGAAAATGTTTCAAAAAATCTATACGAATTTGAATTCCAGGCTGAAATTAGAATCACAATGTACAGTCAGTGAGGACTGGACATAATAGGAAAATACTTCCCAAGCCACAGAAAGAAAGCAACATGCATCAAATGAAGATGTTGAAGCACAAAGCAAAACCTACTATGTGTATGTCTCCTAAAGCCACTTGGCTGACTCTGTCATTGAAGCTATACATAGAGAATATGAAACAGGACCACCAGTTCCAAACTAACTAATGTAAAAACTCAGCAGCGCAGTTGGTTCTAGGTTC